CGGTGCCCGAATTTTTAACTTGTGTTGGGCAAGGCCGTGGTCTAGGGAACACGGAGTTTTCCTCCGGGGGCTTCCCCGGTTTCTCCGTGGCATCCCAACAATTACTCCATTCACACACAGAAGAAGGCAATGGCAAACCACTTCTGGATCATCTGCCAAGAACGTATATGAACAGGCCCCAGTCCGAGAAAAGGATGGAAGGATCCTGTTCATATGGACCTGTCGTCAGACAGAACACTAGATAAATAAGATATACCTTACATTACATTACATTCAGCTACCACAGACCCATCTTAAGCGTAACTAATTCAAGTTGATTAAGCAAAGTCTTAATCAAACTTATCTCAAATGTAAAACATGTATAAAGCAAATATTTAGAATAAAGCCAATATATGAACTTCCTTTCCGTATAGACGTAGTTACGTCAAATTCTCCGGAACCGTGGTTCCACTGTCACTTTTCTCCAGTCGTTCTCCCTGCGAACCCAACGTTCAAACACGTTCAATGTCGCATATAAAATGCTTTTGAACCCAACGTTCAATCCAACGTTCAATGTCGCATATAAAATGCTTTCACTCAGGGTACAAATTTGTCGTTCGTCATCTGTGAAGAAAGCCTTGATTTTTACTCGGCACGGCACAGGAACTACTTTAGTTTCGCCTATGTATTATTACGTATTCGCTCATTACTTATTTAAAATTTACATATTCCAAATATTTACTTCGGACTATTTATGCTGCGATAAATATCGATGAATTCTTAAAACAGTGTACTTCCGTTTTTGTCTCGCAAGTCACAATAATAAGATTACGTCTCTCCATACGCGTGTGCTCACTGGATAGCTTAAAATGTGCCACAACCTATTTCTCCAAGTCTTATCCATTTATTTGTACATAATTACACAAACGCCTCTTATGGTATTAAGTAACAAACGTTGTTATTACAGCACTGTTAAATAATCAACGAACCAGTCTGTCTGTTCAGTATGAAGGTGTACATCAGGCACTTTTCAAGCAAAAGTGTATTAAGGTGATACAAATTTTACTGCTACATAAAGGAATCGTAAATGTGAAGTTGTCGCTGGTGTTTAATTATTCACCACGCCGTGGAAAGCGGAGATATAAATCCACGTATTCTTAACCTCGACACTAGATCGAGTTTAATGATCAGCTTCACGCCCCGGCCGATTTAGCCCCGAAGAAATAACCCGGTGTCCAATTGAGCCAAAAATGTGCGAGCCCCAGAGCCGACCTGTAACTTGTAGCAAAGAGAAAAATTATACACTGCCGGGAGTCGAAACCCGGTCGTCCAACCCCGTAGCCTCATGATTAAACTGCCCGAGGTGTCCCAACTCGTAAAATTAAAGATCGGAAAAAAAAATCTTAAACATTGTGATATTAGCGCCTATTCAATTAGGACTAAAGTGGCTGTTTCACATTCAGAGCTTCAAGGGAACGGGAAATATTTTTGAAATTCCCAATATATTTATCTGTTTTAGATTTCTGGAAAGATTATAATTTAATTTGTTATATTCGCGTGGCATATATGAAATCTGGTGTGACGTCACTGCTACTGGTAATTCCTGAAGCTGTGACGTGTTCAAAAAACACAAACACTGCTTGAAATTAGTGTTCAGCACTTGCCACATACATTCGATACACAATTATGTCCGAGGATCGATAGCGCCCGTGTTTTTGTTTCTTTTTACTGAAATAATACAGCTGTTAATTTATAATGAAAATTGTTTAACCAAAAATAACATTTAACCAATTCCCATCCTTCGTCCAGATTGGCTTAATCTGCACTACTTAAATATACAAATTTATTACTTAAGCATGATAAACTATGAACATGGATTATTTATTTATTTAGTATTCTGTCTGATGACAGGTCCATATGTTATGAACAGGATCCTTCCATCCTTTTCTCGGACTGGGATCTGTTCATATACGTTCTTGGCAGATGATCCAGAAGTGGTTGGCCATTGCCTTCTTCTGTGTGTGAATGGAGTAATTGTTGGGATGCCCCGGAGGAAAACTCCGTGTTGCCTAGAC